ACACACTCACCAGGCCTGTACTAGGCCTGGATGTGGGATTTCTGGAATGCAGCAGAAATTCCTACTTGGTGGGTAGGGTGTGGGACATGCTGCAGAGTCATGGGGGGCATCCCAACGTGGTTGAGGAGGGTCTCACCCACGCTGTGCCTGAGCTGGGACCAGTAGTTCTCACCAGCGGATGGTAGCCAAGTTGTATAGGTCTTACTTTAGCTTGGTGTTAACCATCCTGCAGAAAAGCATAACCATGAGGCATACAAAGTAAAGCCATATTATTATGCTGAGCTTTAAAAACCTCAAGTCAAGAACTTCTAACAATTGCCAGTTCTGCTGATAACCCACTACTATTATGGACTATAGGTCTATACTATGTTATTTTGCTGAACTCAAGTACCTTCAATCTTTAGACTAGTTTCAAGTGTGAAGAGGCCCTTTAATTCATTTTATAAAGAATTTAGAATGGGAATATCTGTGCAAAAAGGAATTTTTAGTTTTAGTTTTTTTGAGGAATGTCCATACTGAATTTCACAGTGATTATTTCATTACTTTTAATTCTACCAACATTAAAAAGTGTTGATTCTCCCACCACTCTCACACCAGCATTAGTTATTGGTTGATATCATGATGTTAGCCTTTCTTTTTCAAGTGAAACTCTCTGGAGTGAGCTCTCAGTGTTTCAATTTACCTTCCTCAAATGGGCAGTGATGTTGAAAATAGTCTCATGCATTTTTTGGTTATTTGTATGTCTTCATATGAGAAGTGCCTTATACATTTCAGAAGCCCACTTTTGATTGGGTCTTTAAATTTGAGGGCTCTAACTTTACTAGGTTTCTTGTATATTCTAAATATTGATCTTTGAGGAGTAGCTGGAAAAATTATTCCCATGTTCTAAGATGTCTCTTCATTTATTTGGTAGTTTGCTTTGTTCTGCAGAGCCTTTTACTTTGCTGTTCTCCCAGCTGCTGATTATTGATATTATTTCTTGGGTTTATTAATAGTCTGCTTATACCTATATCTTCAAGTGTTTTGCCTTCTAGAACATTGTTTATTTTTAAATATTTAAATCTTCAACACAGGGGCTGGAGAGATGGCTCAGTGGTCTAAAGCACCTACTTGAATCAAGCTTGGCGAAGCACAGGGACCACGGTTCGATCCCCAGCACCACATGCCAGCCAGCCCCGCCCCCTGGTGGGCTGAGCTGGCCACACACACACACAATAAATAAATGTAATAAATAAAAATAAATAAATATTAAAATAAATAAATAAATAAATAAATCTTCAACACAATTTTACTTTAGTTTAGTGCAAGACAAGAGATATGTTTTTGGGTTAAATCTTCAGTATGTGCATAGCCAGGCTTCACAGGACCATTTTTTAAAAAGGCTACTTTTTCTTCAGTGAAAAGATCTGGTCCCTTTTTCAGAAACAACATAGCCGAAAGTTCTTGGAGTTGTTTCTGCATCTTTTGTTCTGTTCCATTGATCCACAAGTCTATTATTTGGCTGACACTGTGCTGCTTTATTACTGTATTTTTGTACCATAACTTGACATTTGGGATTTTTGATCCTCCCTTCTTTGCCCTTGTTGCCCAGAACTGCTTTCGCTATTCTAGGTCACTTCTGGGTCCATATTAATTTTAGAATTGCTTTATGCAGTTCTTTTAAATATGTTATTAATATGTTGATTAGGATTGAAGTAAATCTGTCTAACTCTTTTCATAGTATGATATTTTTGACTATATTGGTTCTGGATCTCCAGGAACAGGGGATATCTTTCCATTTTGGGATATGCTTTTCCATCTCCTTTTTTGGAGTAGTATAGTTTTTGTTGTAGAGTTCTTTTCCTTCCTTGGTTAGGGTAATTCGTTTTTTAAATGTTTTTGGTTGTTGCAAGGTCTCACTATGTGGCTTGGACTCATGGTGATTCTCCTGCTTTCAGTTTCCCCAGAGCTGGGATTAATGGCATGTGCCATTATACTGAGACTCTGGCCAATGCAGTCAGCCCTCGGGATGGCACTAGTGCTGCATATGGTGCCAGGGATCAAACTGTGTTCCCTGCACTTACTAAGCTTGCCTACACATGCGCTTTAGTCCACTGAGCTACCTTGCTTTCTCCAGGTTAGTTTTTTTTTTTTTTGGCAGACCCAGAGATTGAACTCAGGCCCTTACACTTGCCAGGGAAGCACTTATCCTACTGAGCCATCTCCCTGGTCTTGGTTAGTTCTTAAGTATTTCATTTTTCTTAAAGTTATTTTGAACGGTAATATTTTCCTAAATTTCCTCTCAGAGCTTGCAAGAAGGCTATTGATTTGATTTTTTTTTGTATCTGGCTACATTAGAAAATTTAGTTCTTAGTTGTAGGACTCTTTTCACCGAGTTTTTGGGGTCATCTATGTAGAGGATCATATCATCTGAAAATAGCTGTAATTTAATTTGATCATTTATTATCCATACATTTTTAATTCTTTTATTATTTTTAATTTAATTTATTATTTATTTATTTATTTGCAGTACTGGGGATTGAACTCAGAATCTTGTGTTTGCCAGGCAAGTGCTTATTCTACTGAGCTATCTCCCCAGCCTTTCTTTTCTTGTCTAATTGGTTTAGCTAAAATTTCTAGAACTCACATGAACAAAAGTGATGATAGAAGACATCCTTGTCTTTTTCCTAATTTCAGAGGAAAATCTTTTCACTTCTCAGTCACCTAGTTTGATGTTAGTAGTTGGCTTGTCATATGTCGTTTTTTGTCAAATTGAGATAAAAACCTATTTCTATTCTCTTCGTTGTTTTTTATAATAAATGGAAATTGGATTTGTGAAGTGCTTTTTATATGCCTTTTAAGATGATCATGGACTTTTGCTTTTGCTTCTTTTTATGTGGTGCATTACAATGATTGATTTGCATGTGTTGGACCATTCTTGCATTCCTGAAAGGATTCTGCTTGTTCATGATACATGATCCTTTTAATGATTTGCTATATTTTACTTCCCAGTATCTCAGTGAAGAACTTTGCATCTATGTTCATTAATTAGATTAGCTTGTAGTGTTATTTTTGGTTGGTTCTATTTGTGGCTTTACAATCATGGTAATGCTTGCTTCTGTGAATTTCTTTGGATTACTGTTTATTGTTTTGATTCCAATAAAGTATTTGAGGAGTATTGGCATAACATTTCCTGTAAAGTTCTTATACAATTTGGTTATGAATTTATCAAGATGTAGGCTTTTCATAGTTGATAGTTATTTTATTATATTTCAATGGAGATTTTTTATCACTGATGGTACTGGCTTATTGTGAATTTTTAGGTATTGTTGCTTTAGCTTTGGTTGTTGATATATGTCCAAGAACTTATTAATTTCTTATGAATTTTCCATTTTAATACAGTACATGTTCTCAAATTAGCTATTGCTAATCCGGATTTTTGCAGAGCTAATTTTGCTTCTACCTTTCTTACTTGTAATTGCATGGATTTGGGTCTTTCCAGTCTTATTTGGATAAAACTGAATAAGAATTCGTGTAATTTCTTTCATTGTTCCAATAATCATCTTTTCAATTCATTGATTGTATTTTTTGAACTTCAATTTCATTGATTTCTGCACTGATCCTTCTAATTTCATTTTCATTCTATCTTGGAGTTTGAATTTTTTCCTAGGAGCTTGAGAGGCATCATTAGGTCACTTACTTGAGACTATTCTGTTTTTATGATATACCAATTCACTGCTATACACTTCTTTCTTAGGACTGTGTTATGGATAGTGCTTAGATGTTCCCATGAAGAATCATGAAGTCATAAGTGGAACATCTTCAGAGGTGGCTGGATATAGTGTGCATGACTCTAGAATTGTGCAATTTACATTGAAGTTCCTTAGGATTACTGGTAAAAGTCTAACCTGTTCCAAGGAGACTGGATGTGACAAAAGAGATAGAGCAATCATCATCCCTTGTTGATTTGAGCTTTTCCAAATCGGATTTAATTGGTACATCATATGTCATAGACTTACACAATGATCACAGTCATCACACAGAAGAATTTGTATATGTACGTGATTGAACTTGCTTCATTTTTTCCCCTTTTTGCTTTGTTACTGTCTGGCAACTATGAATTGTCTTCTCTTTTTTATTCCCTGTCTGCCACACCACCCTGACTTGGAGCTAACAGATTATGGACTGAGACCACTACAAACAGTGAGCTGAATAAAACTTGTCTCTGCAATGAGAAAAGTAACTGAGACACAATTTGGTTCCTAGAGAAGTGGGGACATTGCTGTGATTTCCTGATCATGTCACTTAGGAGCCTTTGAGACTGGTTGTGGGAAAAGTTTGGGAAGGTTCAGTGATGGCAATGGAAAAGTAGAGCTGGAACATCTGAAGCTGTATTTGAAGGGTAATTCATAGCTGAGAAGATGAAAATGCTGATAGAAACCCTCCTAGGAAAGATGAGGCTCTGAAAGCTTGTACTGGGAAGAACTCCATTAGTAAATCTACTACATACAATGTGTTATGGCTTCAGAGAAAGTTTGTTTGTATTTTGCTCTTATCCAGAGACTTTGCCTAAGACTTAAATTTAGAGTAGTGGGCTAATTAGTCTTGTGAAAGGAATTTCAAGGCAATCCAATGTTAGGGCCATGGCATAGCTACAGTTGGGGGCTTTTAGTCATATTTTTGTTGAAAATCAAGAAGAAAGAACCAGGAAAAATAATTTTAAGTGTTTTGTGTTTGGACAGAAAGGAAACTCCAGCAATATTTTGTGTAACAGATGGAGAAGAGAAAAATCTTGATTGCTAAGAAGGAATAACAGAATAGAAAAGGTGTCTTGAGGGTATCATAAAAAGTAGCAGGTGTCCATCATTTATAGCCTCAAAATTTCAAAAGTAAAAGAATTTGCTTTGAAAACAGAGTCCTAGAGCACCACATTCTAGAATGAAGGCAGCCTAGGGAAATTGTACCTCAGAATTTGGTTCACAGGGGCTCAGCTATGATAACAAAAAGAGAAAGAAGACTGCCTATTGCTCCACCTGGCAAATAACCTTGTCGTCATGCATGTTGTACTTCAACTTGCAAGAAATTTGTAGTCTTGAATAATTCCAATCAGATTTCAGAAGAAGGCCTGTAAGGCCAGGAAATGTGACTCTTACAGGGCACTGTGTTAAGTTGTGAGACATAAACAACAACAAAACCTTCAGTTCTCATTAAAGAAGTTAGAGGTAAACAATATCTCTGGTATTGAAGAGGTGAATAGGTTTACAAACCAGGGAACAGTTATCAACTTCAACAGCCCAAAAGTTCAGGCATCCCTGGGAGCAAACACTTTCACCATAACAGGCCATGCTGAGATGAAGCAACTGACAGAAATGCTACCCAGCATCTTGAACCAGCTTCGTGAAAACAATGTGACTAACTTAAGGAGACTGGGTGAAGCTCTGCCGAAACAATCTGTGGATGGAAAAGCAATGCTTGCTACTGGAGAAGCAGATGATGATAAGGCTTGTAAGACTGAGGCAAACTGACCTAAGTCAGTTTATAAAAAAGCTTGAACTTGGAAAAAATTACTGGAAGCTTCTATTTTATATTATGAGTACTTTTTAAAATTATTTTTATTTATGGATCTGATAAAATCTAGATCTCTAATATTTTTTTTTAAGTCCAAACTCCTTGGACACTGCTGCTTTTTTCTATTTTTTTTCTGAAACAGTGATTGAATTTAGGTCCTTGAGCTTTCCAGGGAAGCTCTTATTCTACTGAGTCATCTCCCCTACCCTCTTTTCAGTTTTTGCCTGAATATAATTCATTCTTTACAGCCAATTAAGCTGGAGAAGCCCGGGAATAAAGTTTGAAACAGACTAATAAAATTACAAAGAACGAATGAAAGACGTGGTTCTTTGAAAGATTAAAATTGATAATCCCCTGGCAAACCTCATCAAAAAGAGGAAAGAAAAAACTCAAGTACAAGCAATAAGGAATGAAAAGGGTGAAATTATCACATACTCAGTGAAAATTCAGAAGATCATCAATAGCTACCTTGACAATCTTTACTCTCACAGAATAGAAGACACAGAAGAAATGGACAGATTCCTAGAAAGGTACAAATTACCGAAATTGAATCACAGAGATATAAGAACTCTCAGTCACCCAATATCAGCCAATATAATTGAAAATGTACCAAAAATTTACCGACAAAAAGAAGCCCAGTTCCTGATGGATTCACAGTTGAACTGTACAAGAAATTTATGGAAGATATAATCCCAATACTCAAAATCTTCAATGAAATTGAAAAGGAACCAATACTCCCAAAAGCTTTCCTGGAGACAAGTATTATACTGATACTGAAACATGAGAAAGGTTCAAACAAGAAAAGAACTACAGGCCAAGCTGCCTGATGAAGATAGATCCAAAATCCTCAATAAAAACCTGATAATAGAATACAGCAAATCATCCAAAATGTTATACGCCATAACTAGGTAGCATTAATCCTAGTTATGCAAGGATGGTTCACCTTAGGCAAATCTATAAATGTAATACACTATATCAATAGAGCAAAATCCAAAAACCACATGATCATCTCATTTGATGCAGAAAAGACTTTTGACAAAGTCCAACACTCATTAATGATCAAAACCCTACAAAATAATAGGGAAATTAAGGTGGAGCTGGCCAACTCTTCTACAGGATCACTGGTACAGCTAAGGGCTAGCAGAGAATCTGGGTCACACAGGAAATGATCTATCCTAAAGCCACAGAAGGACATCTGAGAAATGATGGTGATGGGGACTGGGAACCAGAGGAAACCAAGTACCCAGCAGCTGACTATAAGATTGGTGCAGAGACGTCGTGTCATAATGGAAGGGTAGTGCAGAGGCCTGCATATGGCAAGGTAGAGAGCAAATGCCATAACTGCCAGGAAGAAGCATTCTGTGGAACTCAAGGTAAAGAAGAAATAGAACAGGAGGAAGCAGCCAGAGAAGGAGATGACCTTGCAGTCAGAAAGGAAGTTGACTAACAAGTTGGGGACCATGGAGGTGACATACCAGATCTCCAGGAAGGAGAAGTTGGCCAGAAGGATGTACATAGGTGTGTGTAGTCTCTGATACCAGCGCATGGCACAGATGATGGAAGCATTGCCCAGGAGTTTGAAGAGGGAGACAGCAGAGAAGAGCACAAAGAGGAGCATCTGCTCCTCCCTGGGGCTGGGAAAGCCCAGGAGGATGAAGCCAGTGATGATGCTGGAGTTGCTGGGGGTGCAAAAAGTTCTCATTGGCTTGTGAGCTGAATATGGGAATAGAAAGTAAAAAGTATCAAGACGTGATAGGTGTATATTCTAAATTCACCATGATCATTATGGTTTGAATCATATTAATGACCAAAGGGGATTCATGTACCAGAAATTAGTAAATGATAGGTCAAAGATAAATTTATACTGAGGTATGTCCTTAAGCCAATTTGGTGGAATTCAATAAACATTAACACAATGGTCACTATTTTAGCGTAGTTGCAAAATACTGTTTTGTTAGACAATAATTGTTGGTCTTGAAAGCCTTTAAGGTTGAGTGTATCAGGGGATAGGTGCAGCAATATCCTTATTTAAAGTGTATAGAAACATGCATCACATATCAATGTGACATTTCATAAAGAAAGCACTACTGCAACTACTGGGATTTAAAAATAGTGGATCACTCATACCTTATATTCTCCTCTCATGTTGTATCCCAATTGTCCTCTCTGTACCTCTGCCTTCCAGTTGTAAGTGTCCTTTTTTATGATATTACTTGCCTTATTTTTATTTATGATTTAATAAATAAATATGTACTTTAAAAAACCCTACAAAAATGGCATGGATGGCCTCTACCTCAATCTGATAAAAGCCATCTATGACAATCTAACAGCTAACATAATTCTAAATGGGAAAAATGAAACCTTTTACTCTCATATCAGGTACAAGACAAGAATTTCCTCTACCACCACTCCTATTCAATAGATTTGAAATCATTATCTAGGGTCATTAGGTAAGAGAGAGAAAAAGAATAAGAATAGGAAAATAATAAGTTTAAATATCATTATTTACAGATTATATGATACTGTCCTTGGAAGACTCAAAAATCTCAACCAAGAAGCTCATAGAATTAATAAACAAATTCAGTAGCATAGCAAGTTACAAAGTCAGTACTAACAAATCAACAATATTCCTCTACACAGACAATAAATACACTGAGAGAGAAATTAGAGAAAAAAATCCCCTTTACAATACCACCCCCAAAAATGAAATGCCTAAGAATTAATCTAATGAAATTACAGTTCTCTGGAAAAAATGAGATCAAACAGGGTTTCAGAAAATGGAAAGATATTTCTTGCACCTGGATAGGAAGAACCTACTTTGTCAAAATTGTCATACTCCCAAAATTGTTACACAGATTTAATGCAATCCTTACCAAACTACCACCAACATACCTCAAAGTTCAGGAGAAATCATTCCTGAAATGTATGTGGAACCAGAACCAGAGATGTATTTGACACCTAGAGTAGCACAGGCAACAAATTCAAGGCAGGTGGCACTACAATTCCTGACTTGAAATTATATTACAAAGCTACTATGGTAAAATCAGCATGGTATTGGCAAAGAAAAATAGACCTGAGGATCAATAGAAAAGATTAGAAGATGCAGACACAACTACAAACACACTCAGCCACCTTATCTATGACAAAGGGGCCAAACATGATCACTGGAAGAAAGATAGCCTCTTTAAGAAATGATGCTGGAAAAACTGGCTCTTTACATGCCAAAAAGTAAAACAAATCCTGTATCTATCACCATGCAGTAAACTAAAGTTGAAATGGATTAATGATCTAAACATTAAAACAGAAAAATCTACTGGAAGGGAAAGTAGGTGGAAATTTTGAGGATATAAGGTTAAAAAACTTTTCATGAACAAAATTTAAACTGGGTGGGAAATAATCGAAAGAATCAATAACTGGCACCTCCTCTTATTGAGAAGATTCTGCACATCAAAAGAAATTACCAACAGAGTGAAAAGTCAACCTACAAAATTGGAAAAAATCTTAACTGATAATCACTCAGTGGTCTTGTATTCAGAATACATAAAGTACTGAAAATAAGCAAGGCCCCAAAATATATAGGCCCAATCCAAAAATTGGCACCTGAGATGAATTCCCACTTCTCAGAGGAAGAAATACAAGAGGTAAATAAATACATGAAACAATGCTCTACATCACTGGCCATTCAAGAAATTCAAATTAAAACAACACTGAGGTATCATCTCACCCAAGAAACAATGACTATCATAAAGAAATCAATGAACAAAATATGCTAGAGAGGCTGCAGGGAAAAAGGAACCCTTCTCCATTACTTCTGGGAATGTAGACTGCTACAACCATTATGGAAATCAGTGCGGATACTCCTCAAAAAACTAGGCGTGTAAATCCCATTCAATTGAGCTATTATCCTTCTGGGAATTTTCCAAAAGAACTGAAAAGTTCATATCATAGTGATATATGTGCACCTATGTTTATAGCACCAAAATTTATCATAGCCAAATGTTGGAAGCAAAAAAAATGCCCATTACCTGAGGAATGGATTAAAAGGATTTAGTACTTTTATGCAATGGAGTATTACTCAGCTATAAAAAGGACAAACTAGAAACCTTCATAGGTAAGTGGAAACAAATTGAAGATGTACTCAGAAGTGAAATGAATCAGACCTACTTGTGTAAATATCGTTTTGTCTCCCTAGTGTAAGAAGCCAAAAGATGGGCCTGCCATATACTCAGTGGATTTAAGAGCCTGGAAGCAGGCATAGGGGCAAGGGATTCCATCCCTAGGCCTGCCATGATGGCCCTGCCTCCAGGGCACACTGAGATGGCAATTCAGACTGGGCATGGTGGCACACATGAGTCCTATGTCATAATGAGACCCTGAGCACCCTTTAGACCCTTCCCCAAGACACACACACACACACACACACACACACACACACACACACGAACCCAAAGGAAGAAATAAAACCTAAGAAATTAACAGATACAGTTAAATGGAAAGAAACAGAACGTTCAAATTAAACAAGGAAGAGGAGAGAAAAGAGAAAAGAATGGAAAAATGGTATGGGCAAAAGCATGCAAGTATATATGAAAGATGGATGATGTGACTGTACTAAGAATTTCCATGAGTTTTATGAAAATAGAAGTTAATGTATAGAATTCTCACCTTAACTCACTCTGTATACAGATGGCTGTGATTTAAGCAGCTACATTGAGGACAGCAATGTGTAATATGAAAACTGTGCTAGAAATACCTGTCATCTTGATCTTCTAAATGTGAACCGTTTCTAATGTCATATCAATTATTACTATACTCTTTAAAATAAGTTTTTTTTTAAAAATAGGAAATAAAAGTAAAAGACATGAACATTTTAGACTTCTTGAAATCATATGGTTATATTCAATCATATGTCCCATCCTGCATAACTATATCTGATAATGTGAGCAACAAATTTGATGATTAAAATATAGTATGTCATTCATTATTAATCAGCTATTCTTGTTTTAAAAATCTGTAATATATGTATTTCTGTATGTTACCATGATCCTGTATTTGTTTTTCTTTTTCTTGCTTTTATTTTTGCTCTTCAAAATAAAAGAAAATTATAAAAAAGCAAATACAATAGCAATCCCTTTTTTCTAACTTCCTGTCACATGGAATATTGTTTTCCATCCTTTGTCTTTCAGAATATGACTTTTTTGAATTGTGTTTCTTGTATGCAGCATATTGTTGGATGTTGCTTTTTGATTATTTCTGTGAGTCTGTTTCTTTTAATTCATGAATTGAGATCATTTTCTATTTATTTGACTCAGGGTCTCCCCAGCTTTTCTTGGTGCTTGACCATTGTGATGCTCATGACCCCTTAGCAATCACAGAACTGTCAAACAGGGGAGAAAAATTAACTACATGAGGTATAAAATCCGAGTCTACACTAAGAAAGAACATTAGACTCAAGTACAGCCTGACTACTGACAAACTTGTAATTATTATCCTGACACCTTCAACTATAGGAGCCAGATCTTCAGTTACACAATATAATGCAACTTGTTCCAGGAATTTGTAAGTAATGATTTTCCACTTACTAGAATGATTTTGCCTTTTGTGTGTGGAGGGGATTAATAAAGATAGGGGGTAGGATGGAGAATTTGATGAGGTTAAATATAGTGTGATCAAGGCTAGAGGGTTAAGTTTGGTCATCCAAATTTTGGGTAATTGTAGGATACAGAAGGTAAGGATTGAAAAGGAATGCCTAGGAGTATTGTTGTAAACCTTAAAAAATAAGAGATGTTTATTCACAAAAATCTAGTGAGGTAGATGACAAAAGCAAAGAAGATGAGTAAAAGAGAAACCAAACATTTAAAGAAAGGAAAATAGAACAAATTAGAACAGATAAAACAATAACACCTATTTGTACCCCATGTGCCTTTCACCTAATTAAACCCTGTGCTGGTTCACCCAATTTACCACTTTTAGCTCATATTGTTACTGTTACTCCAGACTTTTACAGACCACTAGTTCCATCTTCCCATCGTGTGTCACTGGCAATCTGCATGAATGGAGGTGTTACTTGGCAATCTCTAAGGCCAGATGGGGTCCTATGGATGAGAGAAGTCTTCCCTGGTTATAACTGCTGTATATTGTCTCATTTTTCTTTTGTTTCCCTTTCTTTTTCCTCTGTTTCATTGCTTGCCCTCCTTGTAGCTTCATTCTACTGGGTTTATAGAATTGTACTATACTTTTTTAGAATATCCTTCAGAAGATTTTGGAGTGTTGGTTTGGTGGTCATGAATTTCTTCAGTTTTTCTTTGTCATAGAAATATCTTATTATATCAATACTTGATGAAAAATACCTCTCCCATGTTATGCCTAAGATGTTTGATATTCAGACAGAGAGTGAGGTTAAGCTTAATAACCTAGGTTGTATTGTAATAATAATAAACGTCTCTTCTGAAGGGTTAACAACCTAAGTTTGCAGAACAAAATTAGAGAAAAAGGAGGGCTACAAGGAAAGGCAACATTTTGGCCCTAACCTTCTAAGGTCAATTAAGACTCAGGACATATGAGAACTTGTACTGTAACATCATGTACCTCGGTAGTGTCCCAAATTTTCTCATCAAGAAGATTATGGGGCCAAAGAGAAAAGTGATTGATGATGTAGAGTGTGCCCAAGGAGAGTCACATGGAAAGAAAACATTCTCTCAGGCTTTCACAGAGAGCACATTGGGCAAGCAATGGCTGTGACACATCCATATGGCTGGCACTGACAAAGGTTCTACAATCTGAGGTACAGGATCCCAGGATAAATCCTAAAGGCATTTCACTGACCTTATCACACCCAAAAGCTACAACTCTTGTTGCATACGTCCTGCTTTATCTTGGTCTTAACCATCCAGCAGAAAAGTGTAAAAATGAAGTATAAGAAGTAAAGCCATGCTCTTATGTTGAGCTGTAGGGGACTCAGGTCAACAATTTCTGACATTGCCGGTCAAGAGGAAAACCCAATACTGTTATGGACTACTGGACTCTTTTAGAATATTTTGCTGAGTTTACACCCCTATAATATTCAAATGACAGAATTAAACAAAAAAGGGGATACAGATGAATGTTCATTTTGTATCTGTGTATTCAAAATGATTAGGATAGATATATCGTTATATTCTCTTAATGAATAGAGGGATTTGTTCTAATAGTGTTTGTAAATAGGATATCATGTCTACATCTTGTACATCAATTAACCACTCAGAAGAATGTATGCAATGTGTTAATTATTGAATCTGTCCTACCAATTTGGTTTGAAACTGTCTCATTGCTATTTGTTTCTCAATAAAATTATGGCAAAAAAGAAATATCTTATTTATCTGCCCATTTTCAGAAAAGTTTTGTGGGGTATATAATTTTGGGTTGAATTATTTCTTTTCGGGCTTGATATACTCCACTCCAGGATCTCCTTGACTTAAGTTTTTGTATTGAGAAGTCTGTCATGATTACTTTCTTTTATGGGTGATTGTTTTCTATACTCTAACAGATTTTAGTATTCTGTTCTTATATTGATTTTCTGGAAACATGTGTACTAATTGCTTTGGTGTAGATTTTTTAAAAATTGTGGTTAATTGATATTCCATATATCTCACTTATCTGTATGTCCAGTTCATTTGCAATACTCGGCAAGCTGTCTACCATTCCTTTGTGAACATGTTTTGATATTTGCACTGTCTTGATTTTTCACTCTTTCTGATTCAAACTTATTGTTCTTTTCATCATCTGGCAGGTCACGTATTGACTTTTTGAGGTTCCTTGCTATTTTTAAGAAGTCTTTTTTTGCATGACGACAAACCACAGACCTGTATTCTATATCTGATATTTTGTTCTCACATTGATTTTCTGTGCATACTTTAAATATAATTTTTATTCTCCTGGATATAGGAATGCTTCCATGAATTCTATTTTTTTCTAGGTTGGGAATTATGGCTTCAATCATTTTTGTAAGATACTCTATTTTTTTTATCTGTATGTATTCTAGATTCAATAACCATTAGTTATCTGAGAAATGATTTCTGATGTGCTTGCAGAAGCTCATTAATCTGTTTTATTACTTCTGCTGTTACCATTTGAGATTTCAGATGGGTGACATTTTGTTTGTTCTACCCCTCTGCCCCTTGGGTTGCCTTGGACAAGCATGATGGTTTTTCTCTTGCCTCCGTATGTTCTCATGTTTTTTTTATTACAAATTTTATTTTTTTTGTTTTAGTAATTTCTTATGGTAGGTTGTTGTATTACTAATATGAGCAGCTCCTTAGGGAGTGATTACTTTTATGGGATATCTTCCACGTGTAGCTGGATTTTGGCTTTTGAGTCTTTCAGAAATTCCTCCTTCAGTTTATTGATGAGAAATTGCTGCCTATTTGTTTTAGCCTGTGTTTATTTCATACTGGTTTACAATATTGTTTATGACACTCAGACAATTTCCTTCTTGGTATATAAGAAAGAAAAATCACTTAGAACCACTTTCACCTTGGTTAAAGTTGCAGAATCAATAATAACAATAGGAACTAGCAAATCCTAGAAAATCACAGATTCTGATAACTATGAGTTTGTCACCATATCAACAAGATTTATAGCTATATAAGAAAATATCAAAGAAACCAGAGATTTATAAATATTAAATATTCCTGAAATTGAGTGATTGTTCCCTCCGTTGAGGAAATTTAAAAGTAATAGTTGAAAAGAATAGACAAATAGAAGAGAAAATTGAAAGAGATTAGAAGCAAGGTTGAGGAACAAAGGGAGATTACCTAAACTTTTGTATAGTGGTGAAGAAAGCAGGAGAGAAACCAAGAAGAAACAAAGTCAAAATACTGAAAACAATGTTTACTCTCATAAAAAATAGAAAACATACAATAAAAATGAAAATAAGTGAACAAACATCAATAAAAAAAGAAAATTTCTCTTTGATTTCAAGCCTAGAGTTTACTTGGTGGTGTCCACTTCAGGGCATGTCTCCACAGGCACAGATGGACAAGTAAGGCAGAACGCAGATTTGTATAATATGGTCCCTGCAAGCGTGTAGTAGGAGTAGAGCATGTAGATGTATAATCCCAACAGGCCTGCAGAAGGAATAGCATGGAGTGCTGATTCAACTCCACAGAAATTTACGCTGATCTTGATCTCTGACTTTGGGTCTATGACCTGACTTGTTTCATCCATAAAACTATGGGTATTTCTTGTCAACTTGATATCAGCTCCCTAATCCTGAGTGCTTCACCCAGATAATGGTAGTCTCAAGATGGAATGAATGCATGGCCCAGCTAGCATCATCCAAAAATGGCATACAGCCAATCACCCTATCCAGAGGATGGTTGGACCGTAGTCACTTAGCAGATGCTGCAGTTGACATCCATTGTCCCACTCCACTGGTGCATTTCTCCCTGAAGGCCTCCATGGTCCTTTACCTTCACTGTAACGCTGTAGTCTTGAGCCTCCACTCATTCCACAAGCCAGGCATGAGAAAGAATTCAGTTTGCCACAAAGCAGTGAGTCAAGGAGCAAATGTGGTTTGCATTTTATGTTCTGCTTTGACATCCATTATCATGATCTCCTTTTGGGCTCTAATTCACCCTGTAAATCTTTCTTTGATCTCAGGGATTTATCACCCTCCTTCTTCACTTCCCTAACTTACTATACACCAGTAGCTGGACTTGCAATCTTGGAGAAGCTGACTTGTTGCTTCTCACTACTCCACCATATTCCCAGAATTCCGTGATGACATATTTAATGCAAAACCACCTCTCATCTTACACTGAATATTTTATTTATATTTGGAGATTTTGAGCTCAAAATGCATCATTTGGCTCTATATTTTTTGAACAGCTTTAAAGTTTATTAGTAGGTTAGAGTTCCTTTAAATAATGTATGCAGTTACTGGGGCAATCAGGTGCACATCATGGACATGCATAGACAGAGGCCTCACCAGAGCTCAGTGGCCACCCATGACATCACAAAACCCTGAGTCTCACAAAGCCAACTCCTGACCAATAAAAAGCACAGAGCAGCTGTGATCACTGTTAGTTTCAGCAGCTCCTGGCACAGGACAGTTCAAGCTGGGGCAGTTTTTGTCAAACGCCATGGCTGGGAAGAAAAGAGGGAGGAAGCCTTCGAAGCCCATGAAGAAGGCAATTTCCCGCTCTTCACGCGCAGAACTCCAGTTTCCTGTGAGCCGAGTGGAGCGATACCTGAGAGAAGGTGGCTATGCGCAGCGACTGTCCTCCACCACACCAGTCTTCCTGGCTGGCGTCCTAGAGTTTCTGACAGCTAACATCCTGGACCAGGCTGGGAAGGAGGCTCAGGACAAGCGCAAGAAACGCATCGCCCCCCAGCATCTGGAGACCGTGATAGAGAGCATCCAGCAACTCCATTCCCTTTTGGGGGATGGCACCAAGTCTCTGCTTGACGAGATGGTCCATGCCAAAGACAAGTGAGCAGGCCCGAATCTCAAGTTCTGGTGGCATCTCACCTACATCCTCATCCAGCCCCCCAAATTCCCATCGATGGAGGAGCCCTTGCTATTGTCACCAGCCATGTCAATAAAGTGATTAAACTGATGCCATTGCTTCTCTCAGTTTCTGTCATTTTCAGTTAAAGGCATCCAGGAGTGGCTGCCCATTCAAGGATGGAGGTGCGGAAGCTGTTGTCAGCAGGGGGCACTTGAGTCCAAGTTTTCAGGGGTGGAATTTCAGTTGGTATGGTGTGGGCACTGGCTGTGGTGGTGACCTGGCTTGGGTAGAGCCTCAGAAGACCCCCATAGGGGCTCTGAGGAAGGGAGGCCTTCTGAGGCCAGAAAAGTGACCTTAGACTGACCAAACATTTTGGATTCTCAGCATGAAGCTGGAAAGTAGGAAGAAGCTGAATTCCAACACAAAAGACAAATAGGTTTGTTATCAGCGACATGAAAGTAGTGAGAAGGAACATTCACATGAAGATTCAGAAGTAGTAGAGAAACCAAAGAGAAATATATAAAACAGGCATTATCATAGTGTTTTAGTACATCTTTCATTTATCCTTGCATGGTCTGCTTAATTTTAATAGTGAATGTAAACAGAGAAGAGTAACAAGTGCTGTAATGCTTTATGTTGAATATATTGTTTTCATTTTTATTAATTTTATTGAGAAACAGCAATGACACAGTTTCAAAATCGATTAATAGGACAATTTCAATAATTAATACATTGAATATTGTTACATTCTTAGTGGTTATTCATAGTGAAAGATGCAGACATGATATCCCGTCCAAATACTCTTAGTAAAAATCTTTCTTCTCATTGAATTAAGAGAAAGTAGCTGTATAATTATCATAACTACTTTGTATATACAGGTACAAAATGGTCCTTCATTTATATCCCCTTTATTTGTTTGGCTTTGTTACAGATGGGTATTCCATTGCCATTTAAATATTGCAGGTATGTCATTCAGCAAAATAATTGAATATAATCCAGTAGTCCATAATAGTAGTGGATTATCCATAGGACTGGCAATGTCAGAAGTTATTGACTTGAGCCTTTCACACCTCAGCATATTAATATGGCTTTACTTTTTATACCTCATTTTTAAACCTTTCTGCTGGATTGTTAAGAGGAAGATAAAGCAAGACCTATATAATAAGAAATGTATCTTTTGTATCTGATAAGGTCAGTCAAGTACCCTCAGCATTTATACTGTTACCCTGTAACGCAGTTTGCAGATCCTTTGTCAGTGTCAGCCATGTGGATAAGTCACAGCCATTGCTTGACCAATTTGCCCTCTGGGAAAGCCTGAAAGAATGTTTTCTCTCCATGTGACTTTCCTTAGGCACACTCTATATCATCGATCACATTGCTCTGTGGCCCCATAATCTCCTTGATCAGAAAATTTGGGACACAACTGAGTTACATGATGTTCCAGTATAGGTTCTCCTATGTCCTGAGTCTTCACTGATCTTGAAAGGCTAGGGCCAGATCCAGCCCAGCTCAGGTCCTGGGAGTATGTGGGAGAGCTTCCAGCTTCCCTGCACCCACAGAACGTCTCTGGACCAAAACCCAGGCACACAGCGTGAATGAGACCCTCTGCAGCACCCTCGGCACCCCTCCACCCATCTGGAGCTCCTGCCCCTAAGCCCAGTCAGTGAGTGAGAACTTCTGTGCCTCCCTCAGGACCCCCAGATTCAGCCCAAGCCCAGGCCTAGCTAGTGTGTGGGAGAGTTTCTGGCATCCATGCACCTGGGGGACCTCTCCAGAGCAAAACTCAGACACGCCAAATGAGTGAGACCTTCTGCCATGCACTCAGGACCCCTCCACACCTCCTGAATCCCTGCCCCCAAGCGCAATGAGTGAAGAAGAACTTCTGCAACACTCTTGGGAACCCCAGATACAGCCCAACCCCAGGTCCAGCAATAGTGGGGGAGAGTTTCTGTGCTCCTCTATGCCCTCTGGACCAGGGACACAACAGAGGGGCAGCACAGGTTCACTGTTCTGCAAGAGGGGCACAACAGGTTCACTTCCAAGTGCTGCAGCAGGAAGAAGCGGAACACAACAGCTAGACCCAAGCCAGGCATAACTGGATAAACTCAAATTTAATATATCTGCACTCGAATTTCAGCAGGTGACAAGGCTATAATGGCACCACAAATCTACATGAAAGTAAGAGGTCTGTGCTATAAGAAAGGATGAGAAGGAGCAAAATCCAATATCAGGCCTTGAGCACATCCAGAACAAGGGCAGAGGACACTAGCTCACCTGAAATATATGAATTAATAGCATCAGAAGTGAAGAAACAACAGCAGAAAGGTATAGAGGAACTCACAGCAGAATTAATTTCTGAAATATAAAAAGAAATCTTTGAACTCATAGCATCTGAAGTAAAAGATCAAATGCAGAAACATATGGAGGAAACCCAATCTGAAAAATACTCTGTAGTAAAAGAGTTAATAACAGCTACTGAATACAACATTGGTAAAAATAGAGGACATTAGAAAAATGATGGATTCCTTGAATGAGCAATACAGGAAAGAAATAGATTGCATGGAGGAGCATCAAAGAGATATAAACAAACTTAAAATTGCAACCATAAGCCTGCAAAACCGTTTGGGTGAAAGTGAATATAGAGTTTCAGATCTTGAAGACGCTGATGCAGCTAGTGAAAACGTAAGAAAAGATCTCTTAAAAACAACTAGGATGCAGGAAAACAATTATTCATCTCCTGCAAGATGATGCAAAGATGAACAATGTGGGAGTAATAGGCATCAATGTGAAAGGAGTCAATACAAATGATATAAAAAGGATATGGGCAGAAGTGATAGAAAATGTCTCAAATATGAAGAAACAATCTAACATTCAGTTACCCGAAGCATACAGGATGCCAAATAACTTCAAACCAATTAAAAGCACACCGAGAAATATAATAGCCAAGATCCCAGAAATCCAGCACAAGAATAATATAATGAGAGCCACTAGAGAAAAGAAGCAGATCACATTCAAAAGAAAAGCCATCATAATAATGGCCAACTTCTCTTCACAAACCATGAAGGCAAGAAGAGTGGAGCAGAGTACTTCAAGTCCCCTATGAAAAAAATTCCAGCCCCGAATATGATACCCTGCAAAAATCTCTTTCAAGTTGATGTAGAAGTGAAATACTTCCATGACAAAGAACAACTAAAGCATTTCATGATGACAAAGCCAAACCTACACAGACTACTGAAAGATGTTCTAGAGAGGGACCAAAATGATCAGAACTCTGACAACAAGAACAGAAGGAACCCACTAAATAGGGAAAACAGTTAAAAACAGGACAAAAGAAGTAAAGAAGAACAGGTAAATAACATGTCAATTGTAAGTTAACACGTCTCAATTATAACCATCAATGTAAGTTGACTCAATTCACCAATTAAGAGAAATAGACTGGCACAGTGTATTAGGAAACAAAATGAAACAATATGCTGTATACACGAAACACACTTAACTCTTAAAGAAATTCATGGGCTGAAAGTCAAAGGATGGAAAAATATACTACATGTCCCAACACCTCAGAAAAAAAAGAGGTAGCAATCCTGTTCTCAGACAGGCTCAACTTCAAAACAAAAATGATTGAATGAAATAAAGAATATCACTATAAACTAGTTATAAGAAAAATTCAAGAGGAACAGATAACACTCACAAATATGTACAAACGCAAAACGGGAGCACCCAAATATATAAGACAAATTTTAATGGACATGAAAAATCTAATATCCTGTACCACAATCATCAAAGGAGACCTTAACACCCCCTTACCCTAAAAAATAGGTGCAGCAGACCAAAAATTAGGAAAACTGAAACAGCTTGGAACAAAAGGAATTGGTGGACATATATAGAGTGTTCCAAAGAACCACAGCTGAATACACATTTTTTTTGGCTGCACATGGGTCATTTTCTAGAATAGACCACATACTAGTCCATAGGTCCTGCTTAAGTATGTGCAAGAAATCAGAGATTATCCCATGCATATTATCTGACCATAGTGCAATGAAACTGGAAAAACAGAGACAAGAAAACAGAAAAATCCCTTTAACACATGAAAATTAAGCAATGTCCTACTCAGAAGTCAATAGGGAACAGATAAATTTAAACAAGAAAATCACCAACATCTGCACTTCAATGAAAATTCAAGCACAACCTATCAGAATTCATGAGATGTGAAGAAAGCACTTCTCAGAAAGAAATTCATACCTGTGAACTCACACATTAGGCAAATGGAACAGGAACAAATAAACACCCTAGTAATGCACTTCCAACATCTAGAAAAGGAAGAGAAAACCAAAGCCAGATCCCAGAGAAGGGAAAAAATCATGCATAATAGAGCAGCAATTAATTCAATTGAGACAAAGAAAACAGTTCAAAGAATTAAAAAAGTCAAAAACCTGGTTCTTTGAAAAATTAAATAAAATTGATAAGCCAAGCTAAACTCATCAAAAAGAGGAAAGAAAATTCAAATAAAAGCAATAAGGGAAAAGAAGGGTATAATCACCACAGACCCAGTGGAAATTCAGAAGATTATCAATAGCTTCTTTGAAAGTCTTTACGCTCACAGACTAGAAGACACAGATGAAATGGACATATTCCTAGAAAGATACAAATTACAAAAACTGAATCAAGAGGAATATAACAACTCTTAATAACTGCATAACAGCCAAAGAAATATGAAATGTATTAAAAAGCCTACTGACAAAAAAACCTCCAGGTTTTGATGGATTCAAAGCTGAATCCGACAGGAAATTAACGGAAGATATAATCCCTACACTCCTCAAACTCTTCAATGAAATTGCCCAGGAAACAGTTCTCCCAAAATGATTCCTGGAGGCAAGTATTATACTGATACTAAAACCAAGGAAAGACACAACTAAAAAAGGGAACTACAGACCAATCTCACTCATGTACATACATGGAAAAATTCTCAATAAAATCCTAGCAAATAGAATACAGCAAATCATCAAGAAGATCATATAACATGATCAGGTT